ACTCTCTCTGTCTGTATTTGGTTCTTTTCTTCCAATTGGAGGAGGATGCCTCTGAGGCAACCTGTTAATTAAAAGGTGTTCTGGAAGCTGCCTCTGAACAGAACGACCTATCTCCTGGACTTGTGCCAGTGACTGTGCACCACTGACCTGTCGGACCAATGTCTGGCTCAGATCAGAAAAAGAAATGCAAGTTCTGCCCTTCAGGGACTCATGGTGCCTTTCGAAGCTGACTTTTCAAATTCCAGGGGCTGGCATCGACCCTTTCCCTCATTAAGTATGCATCGCTCTGAGAGGTAGGCATCTGTTTTTGGCAGGAATGACAGCAGCTATTCCGTACAAGAACCCGTTTCTGTAACCGCTCGTCGTGGGAAGCTGCTGGATCACATCCGAAGAGCACATTTCGAAAGCTCTAGGTATTTTTTGGAAAAGGCTCCACCAAGTATCCTGGATGCACATTCTTCAGTACGATTATTTCAGAATAGAGTCCAGTGCCTCACACTTAGAGTGGTCCTCGAGGCGGAAGCCAGGGAAGTATGATGAAGACATAAATAACCCTCCATGATTCAAGGTGGAGAGGGGCAGCTATGGTGGGACTCTCGTAAAATCAGATTTCTAAAACAATGGACGGAGTTTTGATTCAATTTACAAAAAAAAGGGCCACGCAATGACCTATTGAAACTTTTAGCAAATGACAAGACATGACAAAAAGTGGACAACTGTTCCACCTTCTCTGACAGCAGAATGTGAAGGAAGTCAAGGAGGAAAATAACAGGACTAGGAGATTCTGACGATTGGTGAATACTAAAACTTTTATTGCAGAAGATTCTGGAATCGTCTTTGGCCATCTTGAAACATAGCATCGATTCCTACCTTGATGAAACTGGTTCTGTGTAGCCCCACCATCGGCAGCAAAACTTGCAGGCTGCCTCTTACTCCTGTTAGTCTATGAGCACAGTTTTTTAATAATTTGAATCTTTCTGACACATTCTAATTATAACCTTGTCAGTTGCTCACTGCCTCAGAGCAAACCTTCAAATTCTTCTGGCTACCTTTCACCGTGTGAATTGCTCTGCTGGACACACCTTGTTAGAATAAGCATGGAAAAAGCCACCAAGATAGAAGGCTGCCCGAGCTTAGCTTTCTGGTTGTGAAATCTATGCTTCACTGTCCTTTTAGGGTTGCGATCTCATTTTTACTGGATTTTTCATGCTACACGGGTAGTGCATATGACTCATATCACTCTGCAGCTCAAGAAAGGCCGAGGGATGGGTCACACGTGCTGGAAGGGGGGTCGCTGTCAGTTTCGTCTACCCTCGTCAGAACCTGACAAGGTTTGCAACTGGCCCTGCACTGGGGAAAGTGACAATAAAGTTCAGAGCAAGTGAAATACAGAAGAATTCGGTTCTGAATCTCTCTTTTTTCTTAAGTCATCCGGGGAATGTACTGATGCAAAAAAAAAAAAAAAAATGCCACAACTCGCTCAAACATTTATTTGATGTGTGCCTGGAAAGAACACCAATGGGAACGAAAAAGCAACTGAGACAGTTGGCTTCAGAGTCAGACCGAGTTCATTTTCCTTATTCTCGATTGTGGGCTGAACCGAGTTCCCACAAAACTCGTCTGTTGAAGTCCCAACCCAAAATGCGACCGACTGTATTCAGAGATAAGGCCTTTAAAGAGGCAGTTATGTCAAATGAGGTCATATGGGTGGGCCCTAATCCAAAATGACAGGTGTCATAAGGAGAAGAGATGAGGACACAGACACACACACACAGAGGGAAGACCATGTGAGGACATGGCCAAAAGGCGGCCCCCGGCGAACCACGGAGAGAGGCCTCAGAAGAAACCAACCCTGAGGACACCTTGACTTTGAACTTCCAGCCTTCAGAACTGTGAGATGATACCTGTCTTTTGTTTAAGTCGGCCAGCCTGTGGCACTTTGGTATGGCGGCCCTGGCAGACTTATGCCCCTCACCCTCTCGGTCTCCTCATCACCAATTTTGAACATTGCTTCATTCTTTTATCACCTTCGATTCACTGTTTTTCCTAATTCTCACCTTTTTTTTTTTTGCTCCACGGAACTCCTCTCTGTCTATTCCTTCCATCGTGACTCCTTCTTTACTTGTCTTTTAAGAGAGGTTCCCTCACTGTCTTGCCAGATGGTGGCAGAGTCTTGGGAAGGCGAGAGGGAGAGAAGGAATCTTATACCTGGGTCTGTGGAGAGGCCCAGTTCCCCAAAGCTCCCAGGTTTATGTGGCTTGCAAGGGTCTATATACATAAGTATTCAACACCATCAGAAGGTGTGCCTCTCCTTTCTGGGGGACCTTGACCAAGTCACTCAACTTCTCTGAGTTTCTGTTTTCTCATATATTAAAATAAGAGTGACACAGATTCGTGCACAGTTGTTGTGAGGTTGAATGAAGATAATACATTGGAAAAATACTTTATATAATATATACTAATCGCCATAGCTCACTTTCTCTATCTGTAAAAGAGGTACTACCTAGAATTTGATAGTACGGTATCATGAAAAAGACCAGTCAGCCAATAATTAAAACTTCTGTGACTCTGGATATTATATAGTTTAAAAAATTGTTTCTACTTTATATTTCATTGGCCTGAAAAAGTTTATTTTTGTTTCTCCTGCTGGTTAATATTTATGAAGAGTGTTGTACTCAGTTTAAAGAGGTAGATTCTAAAGACACAAAAGACCTTGTTCTTGCCTTCATGGATCCTGCAATCTATTTAGAAAGATAAAATTTTAACAGTAAAAACACTTACAAAGCCAGTTCAAAGTGGTTTTTGGAGCTGCAATAGAATATATGTAGCCAAATCTCACTGCAGGTCAAGCCAGATACACACCTGAACTTTCTAGGATGACTTTCCAGAGAGTGATTTCCAATGATCCCCTACTAAAGTGACTGCCAGTAGACGCTAACAAATCTGATTTAACAGATTTAAAATTAAAAAGGTAAATAAAATAAAATAAAATGAACAGGTAATACAAACCTGAATGCTAACTTTAAGTAGTGTATTCTGTTTTAAACAAATCTAATTCTAACAAATTGTGAAACAGAACTCTTTAATAGACAAGTACCTCTAACATTCCTAAAACTTGATTTGAATAATCAAATTTTAATTTTCTCATTAACTCCTCGGGAACCCCTGAAAAAATTCCATTGACTATGCTGCTACATTCCATGAGGAAAATCATATATTCTTCAGAAATGCAATTGATATCTGACTTTAGAAATATCTCAACAAAAAAGAAACCACATGTCTTTTTTTTTAGAAATTCACGCTCACTATTGAGAATGATCAAAATATGGTAATTTGAGTAGGAGGGACATGGGAATAAAAGGGGTTAAATGCTTCAGAAGCAGCATTTGGATTCAGATCCTGACTTTACCACTTATTAACTGTAAGACCTGGGGCAGGCTACTGTGCTTATGAGTGTCATCATCCTCATGTTTTAAACGGGTACAATAATGCCTTCCTTGAAAGGTCAAAGGTGATGACAAACAGGAAGTGCAAAGCTCATCTGTGATCAGTGCCGCTCTTGGACAGTAGCTGGGTCTGTCCTGGGTGGAATATCTAAACGAGAATGTCATAGTGGACTATAACTACTCCCTAGCCTTTTCCTCTCCCTAAACTGTGATTTTTTTTTTCTAATTCAACCTTATATATCCCTCTGCCCATTTATCCCTTTTCTCTCAAGTCCAGCACCGTACATAACACACAGCAAAGCCTCAATAAATGTTTGATGAATGAATACGTGAATCAATAAATAATATGTAGATAATTTTAAAATGGAGGAACAGGAGGAAATACACTAGCGTATGGAATACGACTGAAGAACCGGTAACAGATCCATGTCTTTGGCAAACACAATTAAAATCTGGAGAAACAAATTAACGACACCAGAAGATATCTTTAGCTTTACTAGAATAAAAGGAAAAGGGGAAGGGGTGAAGAACTGCAGCTGCCAATCACTGCTGTAGAAAAGATAATTTAAATTCCTCGATAATTTTTCTTTCTGTAGTGTATGGCTAAACCAAGTAATCTTCGAGATAATAAGCCAAAATTTGTTGGCACATTTACGTATAAGCAAATACTCAGTGAAATAAAATGGAAGTTGATTCTCTCCCATGGTTTGTGATAGTTGTGTCTTTCTAAAACATTTTAAGGCGCATCTGCCTGGGTTCTCAGTACTGTGCCTGTGACCTGCTCTATGTGCTTTTCTTTCTCAAAGATTTTGGTTAATATGTTGGAAGGGCTGAAGGCCAATTTGTTTTCATGGATCCAAACCTGATTCTGTATTTTTTTAAAAATGATAATAATTAAGGAATACCCATCAGAAGATCCTACACTGAAAACGAGGAAAGAATACATTTTTACTACACATTACTTTAGAAAAGAATATCTTATCTTTTTCATGCCTTCCATCAGACCACAACCCAAATATTTTCAAAAGCAGAGTATAATGGTGTTAAGTAGGTGGTATAACCTGGAGGCCTGATTCCCTAACCAAAGGACAAGTGGCTGCCAGTAAATAGACTTGAGTTAACGATCCAGAGCGACAAGTGTCAAAAGAAACATCAGACTTGCTGCTCCATCCTGGAAAGAAGCTCCCCCAAGATTCCGCGTCCCCTCCCCCGCGCCCTTCTGTCGCCCGGCAACCTGGGTACGCCGCAGCTCGGCCCCGCCCCCGCTGCCATGGCAACGCAGCCGCGCCGGCGCGCGGGCTTTGTGCTCGCGCCCCTGGGGCGCAGCTGTGCGCGCTCGCCCCTGCACCTGCTGGGCCGCGGCAACTTTTCAAATCTCCATCTCACCGAATGCTCTGCCGGGTCTCCCACCCAGAGCCACTGATCCTCCCCTTCTCTCGCCCTCGGTTCAGAGAAAATGTTCCACGGACATCGGAATTCAGCAAACCCGCTGCTTGGTGGTCTCTTCTCCAAAAGTGAGGGAGGGGTGACAACCGGCAAAGAAAAAGCACTTACTTTTCCCAGCATTCCTCCGCGTTAGCAGGGGGTCTTTGGAGGGCGCTCACCATCCCGCGCCGAGCTCGGAGTGGGGAGTCACGGGGAAGCCAATGGGGAACTTGGACTCGGGCGAGCGCCGCGCCGAGGCCCCTGCACCCTCCACCACAAAGGGCGGGGACCTTCAGACCACTTGGTCCCGAGACTGCTAATCCGTCCGACTGTTACCACCTTGGCCAGACTTCAGATCGGCTCTGAAGGGCTGTTCAGAGGCCACATTTCCCTGGCGAGGAACAACTCCAGCCCCTTGTTCTCGGCAGCAAGCTGAGCTTCCAAGACGCGGGCTGCGTGCGCTATTGTTTGTTGGTTTGGGGAGGACGCGGTGGAGGGTGGGGGCGGCCGGCCAGAGCCCGCTTCAGGCCGGCTCACGTGGAAGGTCTTGCTGGGTTTTCTCGCCGGCTTCCTCCCCGCCCCTCGCTGTTGCATATTCATAAGAAGGCGGAGTGGCTTCCCATCACTTTTGAATCCCCGTGGTTGAGAAAGCCCAAAGGAGTGGGGATGATTTGATTTGGAAGGGAACACTAAGAAGAGAATAGGGTGAGGGAAACAAGTGGTAACGTGAATAAATAAGCAAACGTAGGATTCCCATTTCACAATTTCTTCCCCCATATTCAGGCAGCAAGAAGGCGTGCGCCTGTGCGCCCATACATACACACACACACACACACACACACACATACATACAATCATATATATACACACACACACACACATTCCATTTCTCAATGCCTGAATAGAGCAAAAATTTCAAGGAGGTCTTGACTAAATCCCTTGGTCCTAATTATAATATTGGACTAATTGGGAGATTTTTTCCCCCAAGGATTTTTAACAATGATTGAAACTATGCTCCTCATACTAAAGAGAGCAGTTAAATTTACATATGCAGACCTCGCTAATTGCCTTGTTTCTATTGAATTTCATCACAATCGACTGTCTGCTTTTAATGTGGTACAAATGCCACCGTTTCCCAAATCCCAGATTCTCTGATTTTTATAAACGGTCAAGTTGCTAATGGAAACCTATTTTCGGAAAATAAAAATAGGGTAAGAAAAATGACGGGCCTAAGGAAGTTCACATGGAGGGCACAGGACGATCTGATTGTGAGGCACTGAAAATCACTGGCGCCGAGCTATTTCCTCCAGATGTAACAAGTGGTTCTCCAGAATGGGTTCTCTTTCCTCCTTGAAATTTCCCCCGTAAGAATCATTGCTAAATTACATCACGTAATTCAGATCCAGTCAACCACTTACGATATAGGTGGCTATCTGAGAAAGGTGATTTGAAAGGATGCAGAGAGTCTTCTGCCCAACACTCTGCCTCTAAACAACCTGCCATGATGTTTTCACCACCAGATTCGCTCCTCTGTATTAAAGTATGATAGAAAAATCCCTACTGAGATACAAATTTGTCAGCTGGAAGCGGCAACCCATACTCGTTACCCCTCGATAATTACAAGTGGTGAGACTTAACGACTGCAGCGAGCTGCTCATCCTACAAATCTTCCCTAGTACCTATCCACTAGTGAGTGGTGGGTACTGGGGAGAATATTGACAATGAAACAGCCTAAGTCCTTGCCCTAGTCAGGGAGTGACCATTAAAGAAAAATAAAGCCATTTAGAAAGGCAGATGCTGGAAGCCCAGAGAGTATGGCGGTGCCATGACTACCCTGATGGAACCAACTGCGGACCCAGAGAAGATTCTTTTGGTGTGAAGCCTGAGAAGTAATTTGTCTGCTGAGATGGACTCCCCTGTGATCCACCGAGGGCCCAAATTTTATAAATAGTAAAAGCCTAGCACCATTTGCTGACAGGGGCTTCTCACTTACTCTGTGTGGAGGAAGAACCTCAGCGGAACTTGGCTTGGGGGACTCTGCCTGCCCGTTTGCACTCCTGACTTCCTGGTTTCTCTCAACCAATGGACTAAAACCTGCCCCATCCAATCAGAACTGCTTCAAAACGACCAATCAGGACTGTGCAGTGCAGACCAACAGAAAATGTATGAATCTGGACTCCTCATTTACATAAAGTAGACCTGACTGGGAAGCTGGGTGGGAATCTTCTCTCTAAAAGGCAGTTGTTTTGTCTCTATGGAGCACAGGTTAGGTCGCTACCTGAACCTGCCGGCAGCTCTTTTTGTTCAAATTAATGCTTTTTAAAAATCCATTGTTATAGTCTAAAATTAATTTTGGTTTACACAACTTAGACTAACTCCAGGTTTTCTGAAGGGGTTTTAGGTCCATTTCTATGGTCATCAGCTGTGTGAGTTTGGGTATATGGGTGGTTTTCTGTTTCTTCCATCAAACACACCAATGAAGACTAGGCTATATATTCAGTAATTTTTAGCATGGGCACAGAAAGTTGCAGTACTGATTGCGTGCACACAGAAGCTCAGGGGGTCTGACCGTGTGGCAGATGGCCAGCCAGAATAGGTTGATGTCTGAGTGAGCTCCAAGTGCATTTGCTGGGCAACTTCATTTCCAACACATTTCATTTCCTTTCCAAGTCTGGTTGCCTGGTTGTAAATGTGGATAATAATATCCACATCAGAGGTTGCTGAGAATACTAAATGAGATAATGTACTAAAATCACAGGGCTATTACAATAATTTCTCACCAAAACCACAAGGCCTTCTGGAGGCCAGCCCTGTGGCATATCCTTTGAAAGAGGTTGTTGCTTGATTATGTAGACTAACTGCTTTCTAATTCTTGCTATTCATCTGTAATTCTCTCCCTGCAAAGGGAAGGAGGAAGTTGTGGGTGGGTGGGTGGAGGGTGGGGGGGTGTCAGGCTAGTGGTTGCTGAGGCACCTTCTGGCCCTCTGCATACATTCTCTCTTTGTCATATCTGCCACCAACCGTTGCAGATTCGGAAGAGGATCCAAGAGGCCACTTTCCTCGCCAACTATACGCAGCACATTACACAGTGAAACTGGGATTCTGACGCATGTCTCTCAAAGCCCTGCCATTTCCACAGCCCAGGCTTCCCTCACTGCAGGTGCTGCTTTTAGAAACAATAAATTAAATAAATAAGCAAACGAATTTTTTAAAACTTAGAAGCAAAAGGCAAAAGTTCTTTTTGTTTGCTGGCTCTTTAATAATAGAATAATAGCAAGTACATGATTCTTTTCTTATCTGAAAATAAGAGAGGTGTGTCTTCCAGCTCTTGGGAGCTAGCCAGATGTGTCTCTGGGGTCACAGCGCTAAGAGAAGAGCTGTACCCTAGACACGCGCTGGGCTTCGCCAGTGCGGGGAGAGACCCCTCCGCCTGAGAACTGAGCCTGGGCTGCCCTCTGGGCAGCAGCAGGTAGAGTCGAAGAGACCTTGCCTTTGGTCGTCCTTGGCAAACTGCTTCCCAGAGGCTCCTTACACAGGGTTTCCCTTGAAAGCTGCATCCTCATCCAGCAGGTTCACCCTGCAGCCCACTTCCCAACTGGAAGAACGCAGAAGACGCCCAGATGCCTTCATATGAGACACTAGTCAGAGTCCCATGCCTAGAAGCAGGCTTTTCTCAATAAGAACCCAGACAAAATACTACAAGTTTCCAAAGGCAATTTTTAGGGCAATCAGTCCACATGGGATAATGCTTTCAAACACATAGCAATAGCTGGCATCCGTCAGATGAACAGCCGGGGAATAGGAAGAATGAAATACGAGGTCAGTGAAAAGTGTAAAGAAGAGTTTGGAAGATGAAATAGCCCAGAGTAAGGGTTAAATAAATTCATGCAGATCTAAGAATAAACCTCTTCAACTTTCCCCCAAGATGGAGGAAAAATTTAATTTGCCTCCTTCTTTTCAAGGTTGAATGCAACCTCTGTGGTTCACCTCTCCAAGGATCCATACTTACCTAAAGCGTATTATTTCCTCATATCAGAATCCATTTTTTTTCTTAAATTTTTGGAAATGCTAACGTTGGTTGTCAGCATGTCCCGATAATTATGTTTATTGTTGTATTTAAATCACACCTTGGTTCAGAAGGTTTTAGGTGGCATATGTAAATACATATAATCCAATTTAAAAAAGAATTAAAAACAAGCAGATGAGGAAAATACGACAGAGGACATGAGAACGGAAAAAAGTGAACAAATATTCATATATTTACATTTATGTAAATTCATACATTTATATATATTTACATCAAGTCCCTTTTAGAACTAACTCTGAAAGTGACATAAAAAAAACCATGCAATAATGACTTTTTAGTACAGTTAGAATAAAAAGACATGGTATATTTCATTAAAAACTATATTGTTTTCGGGGTATTTATTTTTCCCATCTCCGTTCAAGGCCCACTTTGAGAGTGCACTGAGAAACATTTCTGATGTTGGCCATAAATTTTTCCGTGAAAGCGTTTAGCTAGTGCTTCTGGAGTTAAGATGGACCTTCACGCAAAGGACTAGGAAGAGGAAGAGGAGGAGGAGGGCAGGGGAGGGCTGGCCATAATGAACTGGCGGTCCTGTGGCACGAAAAAAAGGAATGCCTGACTCCAGGAAAGATGACAGGTAACTCAGTCACGCCCAAAGATGTCAACCACAGCTCAAGTAAGCAGCTCACAAGGGACAGCTGAACGCTAATGGTGCCTCATACCAACCTGCACTAAATTCAGCTTCCCATTCGCTCACGTATCTAGAGATCTCGAATCTTGTTATGGACACACCACATGGGCAGATATTGTCATCTATAAGATTTAACTCAGTTATCACCCTTGTTCAGTCTTTTCTAAGCTTCCGTGATTATCTATGGTTAATTAATTTGGGTAAACATTTCTTCTGCTTTTGAAATACACAGAAATGCATTATGTCGCCTTCCTGGACTCCATAATATACAAATAATGTTAGGCTAATTACGTGGGAAGTTCTTTATTCCAAGCTGCATAAAAATACGAATACATACTTTAGACTCTCTCCACATTTCCAAATGTAGTATTATGTCCACGAATTGCTCTAATGCATTATTGGGACTTGAATTAAATGAAAGAGAATCAAAGTGGGGGTGGGGGATGGGCCATAAAGATCCACTCATGTCTACTCTCCTAAATTCTTCTAAGCATCACATAAGCTTTTCACTTTGGGCTCGCAATTAAAGTCACTTTTTGTCATTTTCATTGCATAGCCCAGAGAAATAGGCACGTAAATAAAACTAACAAGATCTGACAGTGTTATTAGCCACCAATGTCAAACTCGATCATCAAAACACAGAATCCTTTCATGACATGCTGATACGCACAAACACCTCAAGGCCCTCGGTCTACCAGGTAAATATGGAAAGAGGAGACGTGAGATCGAAATTGAGGGTTCTTACTAAATTCACCCCTTAGGAAGCCTGTAAGAATTCTTAATCAGATTTCCCCAAAAGCATTCATTGTGACGAACTGTGTGCATTGCTCTGTTGCTGTTGA